AACCCAAACTTAGGCCATCCAAAAGTATAGGTCATTTCGGAGTCGAGCCAAGTCTATGGTGTCACTAAATAATCCGACAACTGTTTTACATCATCGCCCGGATTTATGGGGTCCCCAACAATGATGATGATGATGATGATAAATCTTATTTTTCTTTCTTTTCTAGCGTTCATGCTTGCAAAATATGATATAACTAGAATGATTGCAATATAGTGTGTATTGGGCAATTATGAAATATGTGAAAATTTAAAGTATCATAAAGGAATTGATTTCTTCTCATTATTTACAACCATCAATCGACTACATCCTCGATCGGCACGCAAAGTTACGAAAATTTTATGTTCAACGGTTATGTTGATAAATTCATGTCTACAAGCATTATTATTTTTGAGATGATATAAATATCTAGCTATTCAATGCATAATAAAGAAATGAAGTAGAGCCTATTTTAGTCTATATAAATTATTGTAATTGGGCTAACATAACTGTGGATAATAGAAGGCTAGAAGAAATCAAATGGCGAGAAGAAGAAAAGATATGATTAGAGCAATAGAAGGCCTATGTGGGAGATATAATTTCATATTCCAGCTCGGTTTCGAGAGTGACAATAAATAAGGAGTTCGTTATTCAATAGAGGAGAAAAAACTAAGATGAAGAAGATGAAGACATGGAAGAAGATCCAGATGAGTAGGAGAATTGAGGCAAAGATTATTAGTCTATAGATAGACTTTTGGAGCCTTGAAATTTCATCTTTGTATTTTTCACTTGTTTTTATTTTAAACTAAGTCTCATAAGCGTAAAATCTTTTTAAGTACAGATTATGATTAAAGTTGTTCATTTGTCTTATATTTAAATTTTGATTTAGAGTTCGTGCAATAAGCCTATATCATTGCAAGCAATCAGTATATCATCGACATACAATACCAGGAATATATACTTACTCTCACTGAACATGTGGTATACACAATCATCAATCACATTCATCTCAAAACCAAACGAGGTGATTATTTGATGAAATTTGTAATACCATTGACGGGAAGCCTACTTAAGCCCATAGATAGATTTCTTTAATTTGCGAACCATTTTCTTCGAGTCTCCTGACACCATATATATCTTCTCATCAATGTCACCACTAAGAAACGCCGTCTTTACATCCATCTAATGTAGCTCAAAGTTAAAATGTGCCACAAGTGTCATTATACTCCTGAAAGAGTCTTTTGTTGAAACTGGAGAGAGCCTATTTGTAATCGATGCCTTTACTTTGAGTAAAGCCCTTTACAACAATACGAGCCTTATATCTTTCCACATTACCCTTCGAATCCCTCTCGATTTTATGTATCCATTTGTAACCAATGGGTTTCGTACTTTCAGGTAATGGGACAAGTTCCCAAACATCATTGTTATTCATGAACTTTATCTCTTTATGCATGACATCAATCCACTCTTGAGAATTATTCATTTGCATGGCTTGATGAAAGTTGATTTTCAACTTTAGCCTATAAGCCTTGAACAAGTCTAGGTAATCATGACGGGAATAATCGTCTATGAACGTAATAAATGACCGTTAACCATTCCAAGAAGTCAAAGAGAATGGCCCACAAATATCCGTAATAATTAGTTTTAGGATGTCTGAAGTCCTATTGGCACATAATCTCCTTATATTTGTTTGTTTTCCCTTAATGCAATTTATACAAACACTTACGTCTGAAAAATTAAGGAAATCAAGAATTCTTTCTGACATAAGTTTTTTTTTTTTTTTTCATTCTCTTTTGAGATATGTAACCTAATTTGAAAAGAGATGTTAAAAGACTTAATTTAACAAGAATTATGATTATTATTACTCTCTCATTTAATTTCATTGAAAACAGATGTTACAAGAAGATGAATGTCACTTTATTATATAATTTCTCCTCAAATTCGAATTTCACTTTTCATATCTCCCAAATTGTGTTAGTTCTAGCTTACTTGCAATAAGGAAAATAAGGATTTTTTTATTACAAGTTCGGTTACTCAAGGCAAAGAATTTCTCAATATTACTTCACGAATCAAGGTAGGTAGTGCAATTTAATTTTTCTCTATGAATGTTTAATACTATTTTATGTGTATAAATGTAATTGCATGCTATGACCATAAGAGCTTGTTTGAATGGCATGGAAAATATCTCATAGGAGGAAAATGTTTTCCTTATTTTAAGGAAAACAAAAATCTATCTCCTCAAAAAAAAAAAAAAATGTTTTCATCAAAAACAAAGAAAATTAGGCATATTTGTAAATGTTGAAAAATATTTTTCATGGAAAAAAATGGCAATCAAACACTTCAAAAGTTAAAATTTCAGTAGAAAATGGCCATTTGATATGGAAAATTTTCCAATCAAATTAACCCTAAATGTTAAATTTTTAAGATCATAACCGGTTTCTATAACCCCAATGGATTCTTCGGAATCAAAAATTTTAGCAATAATCCAACTACTTGAAAGTAATATATGTATGGTTTTAAAATTCTACATGTGAACAGTGACTGATGGATCTAGCACCTGGCGAGGGGGTGTTATAGCACGTGCTGGCTCTGTCAAAACCTACGATCGATGCCGAGAGTTGCCGCCATAGACAAGCTTGAAGGTCGAAACGCAGGTCCACTGGTGCAGCCGACTGGAGAAATATGGAAGTGGAAGATAAATAGAAGTTGGACTTGGGAATTGGGCCAACTTTTTTTTTTTTTTAACTGTATGCTTTTCTTTTAATAAAAAGGAAAAATATGCCCAATCACTAAATCCAATGGATTGAAGTATGAAGATGTACCTGCCCTTATTCACGCACATACGCGGTTGGAAGCAACTCCATCCACTTTCTAACTTCCAATTTACGAACGCCATCCATCGTGGCCACCCATCACGCTGAGCCACCAGCCACTGCTGCACTATGCCCCCACTGCATCGCTAGTAGCTGATTTCCGCTCATGACGGCGTGACGTGAGCGGTAATTCTCTTGCCTCTCTTCATTTTTTTATTTTATGTTTTTCGGTTTTTGTTATTTTAGTTTTTTTATTGATTACTTATGAAATTATGAATTATAGTTAAATTAATCAATTATGATTTATGAATTATGAATTCATGTTTTTATGTTGGATATTACTGTGTGTTAGTGTCTGTTAGTCAGTCTGTGACTTATGAGCAATCTGTTAGTATTTATAAAAATTGGGGATTTTTGTGAATTTGAAAATATGTGATATCATATATGTGGACTATGTAATATGTGAAAATTGGGGATTTTGTGAATATTGGGAATTTTATATGATTTTATGTTTTAAGTGCATTTATATATTAATTGAAGAATTTTTAATACTGTTTAATTAAATATTAATAAACGATCTTGATATTGTGATTGTCAATGGCAGCCCTAGCTGGCTCCAATTTCTGGATCCACCATTGCATGAGAATATGCATATTTGTATGAAGATAATTACACCTATGAAGTTTTACGAGGCTTTATGCTTATTCTTACTCTATGAAAATTTTCAGTTGACGAGTCGTGAAAGGATGAAGTTACTGTGGCAGAGCACTAAAAATTCTTCATGTTTTCTAAAATTGCATTTTGGTCCCTCAACTATAGGACAATCAAGTCCAAAACTCAAAATCAACAGCGATTTATTAGGCTACGGGTTCTATAATTTCAGCCCGTAAGTCAGGCCCCCTCCGCCTCTTGGAAGCAAAAAAGCGAGCAGTAAGTGGCCCCATTTTTTAAAATTCATTTTTAATTTGTTGGAATTTGTGTGTGGCCCGAATTCCTTTGTTAAAAGTATTTGAAGTAATTGAAAAATTATAATTGNTGGTTAGAGAAATTAATTTTTTGGTTATTGTTGAAAAAGTCAATTCATTCCTTGGTCGAATTCGTGCCAAGGTGGAGATTGTTAGAATTTGGGTGTGACCCGAATTCCTTGTTGAAGTAATTGAAAAATTATAATTGAAGTGCACGCCGTGAAGAATTCAAGTTTGGATGCTACTGGTGTCATATGTCAAGTTATGAAAATCAAATTTCAATAATAATTAGGAATTTCACTTGAAGGAGGACTTTTGGATGGCAAAAAAGCATTAAGCCAAGGGCCGGACGCCAAAATGACACCACATTAAATTTGGGGCAGAACCCGGGCGCTGGGCTCGGGGGGCCCGGTCGCCGGGGCCAGGCAGTGCCCGCAACAAGTTTCCAGGGGCGAATGTGTGTTTTTCGCGTTTTTCTTCTCTTACTTCGTTTTGGACTCAATTTTTTAGCATCATACTTCATCAACAACTCTACCAAGGGGATTTGGACATCCCATACATGTTTCCTATAAATACTAGGCTCTTCGATAGAATTTTATAATGTGAGATTTATGATTACTAGCTTTTAGGATCATTGTAATATTTTTCTCTCTTCTCCATTACTTTTGATGCAATAAAATCTCATAATTCATCTGCCATATTCTTATCTTCTTT